TTTATAATCAAAGATTGTTAATATAATATTTTAATAGATAATCGGGTTGCCAATTTTGGCAATTATTTGGATCTTCCGATTTTGCCGATTTTGGTAATCGTAGGATTTGCAAAGTGTGACATTTGCTACGTGTGACGGGCGTGATCGGAGAGAGTGCCGGGTGAGATAACACGTACGCCGGACGCTGTGCTATAGCCAATTCATTTTCCTGACGACCCCTACCTCAAAGAGTATGATTTTGAATATGTAATGACATTGTCAGATTGGTACCACACTCCATCTGGTATTATCCTTCCATTATTTCGCACACCTGGTTATAAAGGATTTGAACCAGTTCCTGATTCTGGTGAAATTAGTGGCTTAGGACAATATGATTGTAATGCTGCTCCAAAAAATTCCAAATGTAATCCGAATAACAAAGTTGCCACATATGTTGTTCAGAAGGGTAAAAAATATAGATTTAGAATTATAAACATGAGCACATTATCTCACTTCATCCTTTCGATTGATGAACATCCTTTTACGGTTATTGCAACTGATAGTTATTTAATAAAGCCTGTTACTCTAAACACCTTACCGATTAATATTGCACAACGATATGATATAATTCTTAATGCTAATAAATCAATAGATAATTATCAGATACGTGCAAGACTATCGACTTGCTCATGGATAGATAATAATACTATAAATTATAATAATTCATTAAATTATAATATTGTGGGAATTTTAAAATACGAAGGCGCCAAAGATAACCTCCCAACTTCAAAAGCTTATCCATTGAACAAAACAGAAGAATGTAGAGATATTAATGTAAACATATTAAAACCCTATTACGAGAAAAAAGTACCTCGAAATATTATTTCCAAGATTAATTTATTTGTTTCTTTCCTTTTTATACCATCATCAAATTTATTTTTTGCTCAAATAAATAATTCGAGTTTTGTAGGTTTTTTTTTTGCATAAAAATTTTCAGATATATCTTTTTATTACGACCAATTTGTAACTTTTTTTTTTCTTATTACTAGGTACCTACTCTTAACTATCCGATTAATCAAAGAATTATTCAAGGTGTAGACCCATACAAACTTCCACAATATGATAATGCTTACGTGTATGGGTGTGATTCTACAAAACCTGCAGATTGTAAAAATGCTGCAGTTGATATTTATATCACCGGTAGTTTCTTTTCTCCTCATCCGATACATATGGTATTTTAATTACTATTAATTTTTTTTTTTTTTTAGATTATGTTTCTAATCTTTTTTTTTTAAAAAAAAAATAAGCATGGTCAAAAATTTTTCGTTATTTACCAAGGAGAAAATAACACTGGAACTCAACTACCAGATGAATCGAGGTTTAATTTAATTGATCCTCCTTATCGTGATGTAGTGACTATTCAACCAAATGCGTATGTAACTATTCTGCATTACTGTATATTCATGTCTATTATAAATTAAACCAATAATATTAAATCATGTATTTCTTCATAGTACGACCGTGATTCGTTATTTTGTGGACAATCCAGGTGTATGGCTTTTCCACTGTCACATACAATGGCACTTAGATATGGGTTTTGCAATACAATTAATTGAGGAACCATCATTATTCAAGAATACTACTATTCCAAGTGAAGTCACTACGCTTTGTTTAAGAACGGATAATGGTAATGAATATACAAAGACAAAATAATATTTCAGTATACTAGGTGTAACCCGTCGCTTCGCTGACAGTGTTGTTCCACAATTACTTGCCATGCTGTCTTTTCTTTCACCTCATTCAATTTATTACTTGATATCTATTTTATTTTATGTTAGTTCTTCTATGTTTATTAGTTATCCGTAGTTTATCCATTATTTCAATTATCGTTATCACCGGGAAAACCTGATTGATTGATTTGTCCTACTTTCTTCTTAGTACTGATATGGTTTGTTTATGCACTAGGCTGATGTGGTAGCCCGAAGTCTTATTTCGTAAATCTCTAAAATGTATAAATATCTTAATAGTCCCAGTTAATAAAAGAGGAAGTGTCTAAGAGTTTCTCGATCAAATAATAAAATAGCGTAGTAATAATAATATATCTTTTCTTATTTCCTATTATCGTTGACAATCGTGTTTCTACAATTCAATCCAAGGTTACGACTGAAGCTAAACTGTGCAATAGCTCAAATTTCTCTTTCAAACAGTCATTGCAGTACATGATAGACAAATTATCTATGTTGCCTCTAATGGTAGGTGTAAGCTACGGGATAACTGATTGAGGGAATATTTTTTTTATCGAAACTTTTGTTTGTTTCATTCATGGAGATGACGCAAGGGAATTAATTGTGACTGTAGTATAATTTTTGAATAAGGAAGCTTTACAATGAGATAAAGGATCTTGTGACGGTTTTCAATGAGTTATTGGATTTTTATATTAAGTTTAGGTTTTCAGAAGGATGAGAAAATGGAATTCATTCAATTTTATCAATGACATGTGTTCATGTTTCCTCTTGTACTATAGTTTATTAACGTGTAAAAGGAAGACGTTCTGCCGTTATTCGGTAATACAGGAAGTACTTGAATGTATAAACTCTGGTTTTCTGCCTTAATAAAGTTTTCTCAGACTTCGATCTACCAAACAAATAATAGGATACATGTTTCAAAACTGAAGAAAACAATCTAATTTTATACTTATAACCACATCATCTTAATTATGATTACTTGCCTTTGCTTTATTTTTGAATTAATCACATTATATTGTTGTTTGAAATTAGATTTAATATGAGATCTGCTTTTGTTATATTGTTTACATCTAACTTATTGCTTACACTTATCGTCGCGCTAGATTAAACTTGCAATCGGCCTAAATTACGGCAAAGTTAGGGGTTTTTTTAGGCCAATTATTGTCGATCATTTAATGTTGGTCAATCTGACGCACAACAATAATAACCATCACCCTACGGCATCCAATTAATGTCGCTCTCCCAACCGATAGTAACGATGATTTAAATTTATGTATGTAATTTTTTATACTTACTGTACGGGTCTTATATAACAATTCGTGCTTTTTTACTTATTTATTTGAAAATAACTAAATCAGATCGCTTTCATGTTGAGAAAAATATGAGTGCTCTGGTTTAATTATTTTATTTTTATTAAATTTGTTTTCCTTCATGTTTCTAAAATTGTCGTTGAACGGGTAATACTGTAGCAAAAGAAGATTTTTACTTTTTAAAAGTGTCATTAAATGGTTTTATAACATTAGTCTGTTTTCGCTTTCTTTAAAAAGTCAAATATTATTAGATCTTTGCTTTATTTAAATTTTTATTAGACCGAGTCGCACATTAAGAGGTCTTTACTTTTTAAAAATTTCTTATTGAACAAAGTCATAAACTATTTGATCTTCATTTTTTTAAAAAAAAATAATAACTATAAATTACTCTGACAATTGGTTTAAATGACAATTAGTTACATCAACAATTTTTTTGAAAATAATGATGTTACGTCATCATAAAAATATCAAAAATGTTCGCAAACATTACAGCATTAGGGGCGTGGAACATAAAATTAATTAAGTCTACTATTATAAATTTATGAAAAGGTCATGTAATTTAACAATTTATCTCGTAGATTATAAACAAATTATTATTGCGCTTTGCAAAAAGATGTGAACACTGCAGATCATTTTTCATGTGAGAATCGGAGATTTTATAGATTTTTTGAGATTTTAAGAATTAAACTGATTTCAAAGAAATATAGACGTACGTAACAAATCGAAAATATAAAGTAACGGACAATCTGGAATCTTAGTAATTCTCAGCCATCATCATCACTAAAATCACATGTTCACATCTTTTTGCAAAGCGCTATAAATAATCCACAAATATTTTACTATTTGCAAAATCAAAATGTTTTAAACTGAATGTGTCTTAAAGTAAAAACAACTAATTGATTAATCAGTTAAGGGGGCATCCATAATACCATCACTGTATTGTATAATGATAGGGGCCTCGAAGATAATGCATATTCGTACTATCCTATAACAATACTGATTTAACGTAAATTATGGATGCCCCCTAATCGATTAATTATAGTCGATTAGTTGACTTGATCAGCCCAACGATTACAGCTAAATTCAAAATTCGTGGACCACCCTCTAAGAATTTATCCCCAAATTATTGTCAGGATGGCGGGTTAAGGTGAACAACATCAGTCTAATTACAAACATAGTGCAGGTTATATAACGATGATCATTATGTACATCGACGATATTTTAATAGTAAAAACATATGAGGTTCAAACTTTGAATCAGCAAATCCAAACAAATAAAATTATATTTATCGGGTTCGATAACGTGCTTTTTAAAGTAATACCGTTTTTTTATTTTTATTGTCTGTCAAGGTGATACCAAAATTCTCGTTTTTTGATGTATTATTGAAAAAATAATCAAAAATGTAATTTTTTAATTTTCTATGTTCATGTTATGATATAGCTACGCTTTTGACGTTATTATAAACAATATATCAAAAACGAGAATTTTGGTATCACTTTGAGTCCCTCACTACATCTAGACAATATACCGAACCTGACAAATATAATTTTATTTGTGTGGGTTTGCTGATTCAAGAGTTATTGCAGTTCGAACGTCATATGTTATGATTTTACTATCTCACCTGCCTATGTATTATATTGATGCAGTAATATCAATAAAACTCGTGATCGCAATACGTAATTCTTAGGGTGGTCCACGAATTTTGAATTTAACTGTAATCGATTTTCGATTTAGCGACGCGTTTTTCCTTATATTGGAGCATTTATAAATTGGATACATATATGCAAACAAGACTACAAGAACCTTGTATATGGTAAAACGGTAGATGCACTTGCAAAAACCCTTCGTGAGATTATAAATAAAAGCCCGGATCCCACAAAAGTACAGAAAGCTAGTAACCTTTTTAAAGGCGGGAATTCCCTACATAAAAATTGTCCTCTGCAATAATCTTTTAGATAATTGCAGTTGTCCACAACAAGGAAGTTCAACTTTTAGTCGTTCCTCTGAGATCTTTTAGATCGTATTGTGGTTGTGACATTCCATAACTAGGAGGTGTGACGCTTTTAGCTGGTCCTCTGACAGATCTTTTAGATTGTTATGGTTTCAACGCTGATTAAATATCACGCAGAAAGTATTTTATTTACTAGTTCAAACTTATAATATTTTTTTTTCTCTTTTTCATCGTCAGAACTATAACCAACGCAAAGAAGGGAACCCTATCGACAAGCTATAGCTTACTGCCGAAAATGAGAAATCAATTCCTAAGAAAGGAAGAAATGGGAATGAAGGAACAAATTGTATACAGCTCGTTTCTTGTAAAGGCATCCATATTAACAATGTTGGGAATAAAAGAAATTACAAGAATGAATTGGCCAGAAGATTCAATGAAACATTATATGAAGCTTTACATAGAATGAAAATCTAGAGACACCAGAGGTCCCAATAAAAAAAGTCAGTATATTTAAAATTCGAAAAATATTACTAAATTTGATTAGATAAGCCAACTGAGGTTAATAATAGTCATATAAATTGTATTAGATATCGATTGGCAACAATGGTTCCTTCTCAGAAAATAATAAACATGATAAGCATCAAGAGGAAGATAAAGAAGTAACTTCATCAGAGGTCTAGATACCTTCCTTATTTTGCGCATATCTTCTTAATTATTAAGCCTCATCAATGAACCTATTCTTTTCTTATAGAATCTGATCATTAAAAATCTTACAAGTATTGGTGAAATCGCACAGTATAGGATTGTCTTTTTGACTGAAGAAAAGTTAAAAAAACTGGATGAACTGCTTGACGAAGGTTTGTCCGATAAAGAAAAACTTGTGGATTTACAAAAAAGGCATGATGCCTTAGGTATCGAAGAAAACAATAATAGATCAGCTTTTAAAGAGGAGGAATAGTTAAAGTTTAAAAAAAGTTTGTGTTCTTTTGTATATTTATTAGAGTTGAAATAGATGAAATCAAGACATTCATATGTATGATTCTCGGAAGGGATCAATTTTATTAGTGGTTCCCTCATATTAGACTTGATCCCTCGGAAGAATCGGAATTGGTGTTAAAATAAAATAAAACAAAACATCCATTCATACCCAGGTATGTATAATCCTCAGAAAATTAGAATTAGAGGAAAAATAAGACGTTTATTCACACCCAGGTATGTGATCCCAAAAGAATCAAAATTGGTGTTGAAAATAGATGAAAATAAAGCATTTATTCACACCCAGGCATCGTCCCGGCATTGGTGTTTACATCCAAGTATAAATTATCTGGAAGAATTGGAATTAATGTTGAATGGATGAAAATAATGCATTCATTCACACCCAGATATGCATATTAATACGTAAAATTTTTTGTATAAATAATAGAGACAGTTCTTGAAATTATTTTGTTTATATGGATTTTGAAATTTTATTTGAATGAAATGTTAATTTTTTTTAATATGGAATAGGAATTTAATATATAGTCGTACCTGAATATAGATGCTAGAAATCTAGTTTCGTCTTTCGTCAATTGAAAACTTAAATGACGAAACTGCAAAGGGCGTCAAAGACGAATTTAAATAAACAGAAACAGAAATTTATAAAAATTACATAGTGCAATAGTGAGAAATCGCTTGGTGCTTATTTTGTGCCGGTGAATATTTGTGTTATTCCATGGGTACTATGGCTTTTTTGACAAGTTTATTTCAACCGGTCTACAACAACCCTAGCGTTGTCTAGAAAAAATGAACTGGACTATTTTTGCTGGCATACATGTAATTCCGGATACTGGTCTCTGAATAAATTATGAATGTTAATTCAATGAAAATAACAATTGTTTTTTTTTTCTGAGTATAGGTTTCGTCATTTTAAGTTTAAGGTTTTGTCTCTCGTCAGAAGTATTTGGGGTTTCGACTTTCACCAGAGGTTTCGTCTTTCGTCATCATCAGAACAAGGTTTCGTCTAACAACTATAGTTCCGAAATTAAGTATTGTTATAAGGGAGTTCTAACGGCTATAAAATCATCAAAATTAGTTCAGTAGAACTTTCGCAATTTCTCTTCAAAATTCGGGCGACATTTGCTTTACATGATCTGCAGGCTCGTAACAAATGTCGCGAACTTTAAAGAGCAATTATGAGAGTTCTACTGAACCGATTTAATGATTTTACTGCCGTTAAAATCGTCTTAACCTGGATAATAACTTTACTCGGCTTAGTCAAAAATCAGATACGATTATACATAGGGAGGTGCTTATTTTCGGATATTACATAAAATTTGGCGGTGCTTAATTTCGGAACATCCTCCCTTATTTGCTATCTTAAATATATTTCAGATATTTTGAGCAGAATAAATTTACTTTTTTTTTTATTATGTTTCAATCTTACTTATATCGTATAACAAATCCAATTGATGGATATATGGGTTAATTATTAAAAAAACAATCATATGATGAAAAGTATTAGACAAACGGACATCTTAGCATTAGATAATGAATAAAAGATATTCTATTAATTCAAAGAAATCTACAATGTATGAATAATGTAAAACTATTTTGAAAAAAAAAGTTAACTCGATAAAAAGAATTCATCATAATAACCTAGTAAAAAATTTTCGAATTTAACCAGAACGAAAATTAACAAATGTTGGTGTAGCATTTGTGCGAAGGATTTTTTTAAGGCTATTCCGGTCTTCGTTACTCATATATTGTCGGTAAAGGTATAAGGTTATTAAAGTATTATTTTTGCTTAGAGCTTCGATTAACACCTTTTCCCCTTCAATACCAAATTCGTTACAAGAAAGGTTTAAACAAGTTAGGGTAGTGTTCATATAAAGAAATTTTTCTAATGCTTTTACCCCTCTAGAATCAATTTGGTTACTGTTAAGTTTCAAAGTATTTAAAGAAATGTTTTTACAAAGGGCTTCCGCTAATACTTCAGCGCCTTCAGATCCAAGATTATTGATACCAAGATCTAAATAAGTCAAAGTTGTGTTTACGTAAAGGGCTTCAGCTAATGTTTTTCCATCTTCAAAACCAAGCTTATTTTCAGAAAGGTCTAAAGAAGTTAGGGCAGTATTTTGGTGAAGCAACTTGGATAATGCTTTTATTCCTACGGAATCGATTTGATTATCGTAAAGGCTTAAAGTAGTTAAGGTAGTGTTTTTACAAAGAGCCTCTGCTAGTGCTATAACGCCCTCAGAACCAAGTTCGTTATGTCCAAAATCTACGTCAATCAGAGTAGTATTTACACAAAGAGCCTCTGCAAATTCTTTCCCGCCTTCAAAATCAATAAAATTATAACCAAGACCTAAAGTGGTTAAAGTATTATTTTTGCAAAGAACTTTTACCAGCGCCTTTAACCCTCTAGACTCAATATAGTTCTCTTCGATATATAATTTGGTTAAAGTAGAATTTTTATAAAGAGCCTCTGCTAATAATTCAGCACCCTCGAAACCAGAATGATTACCGTCAGTGTGTAAAGAAATTAGAGTGGTATTTATACAAAGAGCTTCTGCTAATGCTTTTATTCCATCAAAGTCAAGTGGACTTAAAGAAAGAGACAAAGAACTCAGTGTAGTGTTTGTGTGAAGAGCCTTCATTAATGCATTCACCCCTTCAAAATCTAAAGGATTTTCACCAAGGTCCAAAGTAGTTAAACCCAAGTTTTTACAAAGAGCTTCCGCAATAATTTTCAAACACTTAGCATCAAGCTTATTGAAGAAAAGATCTAAAGACTTAAGAGTAGGGTTGGTACAGAGGACATTAATTAATGCCTTGCCTTTAGTAATATCAAGGCTATTATGAGAAAGATCCAAAGAAGTTATAGTAGTGTTTTGGCGAAGAGCCTCTGCTATTGCATTCCATTCCTCAGAACTAATATCATCATTACAAGAGAGATCTAAAGAAGTTACAGGATTTTTATGAAGAATCTCTAATAATATTCCTGTTGCTTCCGAATTAAATTTTCTTGCAGAAAACGATAGAGATGTGATAGTAGCATTCTCATAAAGATTATTAAAAATCTTATTATCACAGATGACACCATCAAAACTAAAGTCTTTAATTTTTCTACTTGTTCGTAAAAACATTGCGACTAGAGAACATTCCACAGTCTTTACAAGAAGATAATCTTTATCATCATAACAAATTGAACCGCGAGATCCTCTCGTAACTCTTTCATCTATGAGCCAGTTTTTAATTGGAAAGGTCAAACGAGGCCCACAAACGGATGTAGCATAACTTGTATACTCAAATAGTGTTTTCGGAAATTTTGGAATAATTATTTTGTAAGGAATTAATAGAGCTTGTTCTTTATCATTTAATGTTGAAAGACATAATTTTAAAAGCCTTCTATCATCACAATTAGCTGACGGATTGCTCCATAATATTGGTATAATAATTCTACACCAAAGACGGCTTACGAGAAGACATGAAAATAAACTTCTGTAATTTGTTCGAAAGTTATTAAAGATTTCGAAAAGGCACTCGTTTGGTAACGCGTTCATTTTTCTTAAAAATGGTTAAATTTTTTTGGTTAATACAGTAATAGGAAAAGTAAAATGAAACGTTGATAAAAATTTGTAAAACTAGATCAGATAAACATGTTCTAGTTACACAAACTTTTTACTGCATACTTAAATCAGCTGTCAATAGTTACGTAGGTACGTACGTATATAAATGGTTATCTGTTTATTTATACGATCGTTAGTGCGTGACTTACAATCAAAAATTTATAATTTTATTTTATTTCTTAGACTTCTCGCCAGAAGTGTGACTATGATTCGGTCATAAATTAGAGAATCATCATGGATAAGTATTCTTATATACAGTACATAAGTGCTGTGACCAATAATATACAGTATAGTGTTACTTGGCTTGACAATTACAAAATTTATTATATAAATTTGTATTATCCCAGAGGTTTGAAAAAAAATTTTTAAAAAAGGAATTAAAAGCTATCAATTGAAAAAAAAAATTAAATAAATAAAACAGATTTAAAAAAAAATTAAAAAAAATTTAAAAAAAAAAAATTTAAAAAATGAATTTAAAAAAGATTGAAAAATACAAGCTAGAAAAAATAAAGAATTTAAAAATTAAACAGTTTTTTTTTAAAAAAAAATAAATAAAATAAAAATGAATTATTAAAAAATTAAAAAAAAAATAAAAAAAAATTTTAAAAAAAATTAAAAATGAATTTAAAAAAAAATGAAAAATACAAACTTGAAAAAAAAAAGAATTAAGAAATTATGATATCATAAAATATTTTTTTTCTAAAAGAAAAATATGAGCTAGAAAAAATATAAAGAATTAAACAGATTATAAAAATGAAAAAATTTAAAAATGAATTTAAAAAAAAAAAGAAGAAAGATACGAACTAGAAAATAAAATTAAGAATCAAAGATTTTTTTAAAAAAAAAGTAAAAAAATGAATTTAAAAAATGGAAGTTTGAACTAGAAAATAAAATAAGAATTAAAGGATTTAAAAAAAAAATTGGAAAAATACGAACTAGAAAAAAATAATGAATTAAACAGATTTAAAAAAAATAAAAAATTGAATACGAACTAGAAAATTAAAAGAATTAAAAAAAAAAAGAAACCAATTGAAAAAGTAAAAAAGTGATGCCCACGTACTCTATCTTGCAGGCAAATTCACTTCCCAATTATTATTTCCAAACAAAGCCTTTATATTAAGCGAATTCTGCCCTGTAAACTCTTAATTCTTGGTCGGAATCGATAAAATTTCGTGTAATAAAACAAAGCCGCTAAATAACGAAAAGGGTATGAAAATTTACATAACAAGCATTGTTACGAAAAATTTTCTTTGTGTATGACATTTTCTTATACATATTTACTTTTTCCGTAGTTTGGAGACCACGAACCGCAGATCTTGGTTCAAGACCACCGATATTGGTTCGGAACCCAGTATCACCACGACAATTAGAAATGTATAAATATGAGCTAAGATAATAAAGAGAACAGCTCTTTCTATTCTGACTTGAAATAATTAAATACGTACCCTATACTGTACATACAGTAACTACCAATATAAATAAAACGATGCCGTTAAATTCTTAATTAGGTGTGTCGTCGACTCGTATCGTCCAACTTTATACGTACGTACATGGAATTTCAGTCCTAATCATTCCAGATAGACCGCATAACCCAAATACTAGATTGATAAACAACCTTAAACTCTACGGCCTCCATATAAAAGACCGCTATTATAAGCCTTGCAGAAGCAAAATTGCCAGCTAACTCGCCCTCCTTTACGCAACGAAACTCAGGTTTATGCTTGAAACCTTTGACGTCGCAGTAGTCTCCCATAATTACAACAGCGTCCATAAAATTTCGGAACCGGATGTTATTCATAATGAGTTGTGACACTCAATAGTGATGCAAAATCCTGTAAAATGATTTAAATGCGAATTCGGATTTTGGACACTTCTCGTAGTCGTAAAGCAAAATGAATGTTTACAATAGCTTGTTTCATAACAAAGTCAACTAAGATAGACCCTACGACCTTGGATACAATTATCAGCATGGGATAGGGGTTAAAAAGAACGAACATAAGGCATTTATTTATTATCAAAAATCAGTAGATATAGGGAATGTTAATGGAATATTTAGGAGTTGAAAAGGAACATGAAGCGTTCATTTATTATCAAAAATTTGCTAATATGAGTAATGAAATTACCTGGCAATGATTTCGTTTTCATCATTGATGAATGTTGTATCATTCATCAGGCATCATTACAAGTGGCTCTCGATATAAGGAAGATTAATTAATATTTGATATAAGAAAGTTAAAACCAGCCAGCCTAATAACATAGCGGAAGTTTGTTTTGATTGTCTAAATATGATTGGCAACGATCTTTTTTTTTATACAGTCAATTGTACTTTCATAAGTAAAAATCTTCGTGTCATATGAGAAATTTTTTTTTGTAATACGTAATGTAGAAACTAACTTGAGTGGTTAGTATTTTACCTTGAGTTTTATTGTTTTTTTAACCTGAAGATTTTAAAAGGCCGGAAGGTAGTTTGGTGACCTAAGCAATTGGTAAGTAAAAAGTTGCAAGATTTTGGTTTAACTAATTTTGCTACCGAATAAAAAAAAAAAAAAAAAATACTATTCGAACTACATTCTAAACTGTTCTTTATTTTTTTTTGTTATATTTATTTAGGGTATTTGTTTGTAAAATACAACGTTTATAATGGTAGTGGTTAGAAATGTTCGCGTATCTTAGAATCAAGTTTAATAATGTATTGCGAAACTTAATTGTTTATTGAAAAATTAATGTATTATTGCAAAAGAATAATATATACATCGTGAAATATGAATTAAAGTAGTTATTATAAATCAAATTAATGTATTGTAAGACTATAATACGCGTCTTCAGAGTGTATTTGCTAATTTTTGAAAGTTTCGTATTCTCGTCTGGGTATGGCCGATACTTTATCCGGGGTATTTTAACAACCAATCAAAATAAACTTCCGCTATGCTGCCTAAGAAAGTAACTAATAAATCTTAATATAAGAAAGTTTTACTATTTACCCTGCCAACTTTCTTATATCGAGATTTAACTTGTATAGTCTATCAACTTTAAACTATGTATATATTATGGGCTTTCTTTTATTCTTTTGTCTTTTTACCTCTTGCCACATTAAAATTTTCTTAAAACATTGAAATTCCTCCCGCTTTTTATTGAATCTTTAACATAATTTTTCCCATATAAAATAATATCGGTAATCCCGTCCTTGTATAATAAAATAAACCTTTTCTTTCTCTTCCCTGGTCGCAACACTAATTTTTTACATACGTACGTACATTATATGGTCATATTTATTGGAATAATTTATATGTAACGGATGCACGTTAATTCAGAACTCACATTTTAGCTATAAAAAACATAATCCTATATTCGAGACAAAATATAAAAAAACCTTTTCATCATGTCAAATACTCGTGATATAGACCTTCTTAATGCAGCATTCACAGCTATGATGCCGGGCCACACTTTTGTGACAGAAAAAGAGTATCGTGAAAGACAAAATTCACTTATTAAGCTAGAAGGTGAAAACTCACTTATTAATCTAGAGGAACAAAACTCATTTATTAGGTTAGGGGATACCGCTTTTCAACCCGTCGACTTGTATGCATTTCATCAGTGCGTTCTTTCTGGTGGTTATGTCGATAGAGTTGAGGATGAATTACCGGAATCATTCGACACACTGACTCTTTATGATTATGACAACATACAAATATTTGTGAAAATGCTTGATGGCAGGAGTATCACAATTGAATGTGGACACAATGATACTATAGAAAAAGTAAAAGAAAAAATTCAAGATAAAGAAGGTATCCCATCTAATCAGCAGCGACTTATCTTTGCTGGTAGAACGTTGGAGAGAGGAACACTTATCGACTACGATATTGACAGAGGATGTACATTACATTTAACCTTAAATCTTTATGGTGGTGGAAATATTGTAAGTTATTTGAGTACAAATTTTTTAGCTCCGAAGTACGATTTCGATTTTACAAATATCGATGATAAAGACCAAGTATATACTCGTGGAGATGTTCAATATAAAAGACCATGTGGATGGCAACGATTTGCGTTAAAAGTTACTGGAAAATATGATAATGGTAATGATGGATGGCTTGGTACAGATGCAAGTGCCTGGCCAGTAGCTTACCATGGTACCAGTAAAAATAACTCAAAGTCAATTGCCGAAGAAGGATATTTGTTGAGTAAAGGGTATCGGTTTAAGCATGGATATGGTGTTTATTCAACACCTGAAATAAATGTTGCTAAATTATATGCTAAAAAATTTGAATTTTCTGGAAATAATTTTTTGGTAGTGTTACAGAATCGAGTGAATCCCAAGGATTTGCAGAAAATTCCGAAAGCCACAACACATGTTGGTGAATATTGGATTTCCAAGGAAGGAGAAGATATTAGACCATATGGAATTTGTATTAAAAAATTATTGTAAAGATTGTTTTTAATATATCAATAGTGATTTACTAGAGGTTGAGAAATTAAGCCTAGGTTGTAATTTTTAGTCATCATATAGAAACATAATTTTAATGATATTTATTGATATTTATCGTAAACACTATACTGTATTGTAAATGTTTATGTAACAAGAACAAATTTATAAAAACAAATCTAGTTTTACAAAATTTTCATTAACTTTTACATTTTTTTTCCATCTTCAACCTATTAACTAAAAAATTTAATAAGAAAAATGAAACATTTTACCAAATGAGTGCCTTTTATAAATCTTTAATAATCTTCGAATTAACTACAGAAGTCTATTTCCCTCTCTTCTCGTAAACCGTCTTTGGTGTACAATTATTGTATCAACATTATTATATTTAAACACTGGCTCGTAATGTAGATGATCGTTAATATCGCTTATAGCAATTGGGTTATTATCAATATTATTTGACATCTTGATAAAGAAATGTTAAATTATTTGGTTTGACGTTAGTTCTATTTTATGTAGTTGACTTTTGCGTTATTCAATAGTTCAGTATTTTTAATCTTAATAACGTATAACCGGCTATATCATTTTTATTTTAACAGCTATAGCTACGATAAATGTTAAAATCAATTTTACCATATGATGAACCCAGCCTATAAAACTTTATATTGGCATCGCTATTTATTACCTAGTTTACTTTATAATATTTTTAGGTACTGTATTTACGCAAAATATAAATATTTTTCAATCTATTAATTTAGTTTCAGAAATAACTCGAAAAATTGCTACATATTAATTACTTTCACATTTGCTATTAAAATTAATATATATATATATATATTTATCATTGTTGAAATGATAACAAATACAATTCAAAAAAGAGATTTGGTTAAAAGTTTCTCCTATATCACACCAAATTTTTTTTAAAATGCTTCTCTATAGACATACAACAATACTACAGTATAAACATTCATAATTTCCATATGATGTAATACACGAATACTGTACATTATAATCAATGTAAGTATATAATATTGATCATGCATCGATATTTATCAACGCATGACTCAATATTAGTGTTATCCGGCAATTCATGAGCATAATTCTCAAGTCGTCATTGGCTAACTGAGTTTAATTCGAATAAACATGATTACCTTGTAACACATGAAAAAAATAACAAAAAGAAAAATTTTCATGATCATATGAGCTTGCCGGATAACTGATTGATATTGTAAGTATACTACAGTATACTCTTTATTCGTCGTAGACTGAATTTGGAAATATATAATCAGATAAGGGCATGCATGTTTACAAATGAAAGGATTTTTATTTATTTTCACATTTGAGGTAAATTCGCTTTCATATTAAATTATCTTTCAGTAAATTTTAATCATATCATTATTATTATTATTATTATTATTTAAATTATATAACAATCCGAGAGGACTATTTACATAAGAATATATATATATATATACATAACATAAAAAAAAACTTTCTGCTTCCCTTAACTTAAAATAATTTTTACTAATATGATGGTTGAAAGAACCATTGTACAAAATTTATGTTTGTTTATAATAAACTCTATCTAAATATTTTGAATCCGTTGTGGAAATTGTTAAGATTGAATGAATTGCCTCTTCTCGGCGACACAACAAATTCATCGTCAATAAGAGCATATAATAAGTTGTTATCTTGTTTAGCTTCAATAAAAATGTTTGTTTAGGAATAATTGGCATATTTCTGCCACCAACATCGTCCAGCAACAACCAAAAAGATTCTGACCTATATTCTTTTTGCTCATTTTCATGAACTCCATCAATAAATGTGAGAACGTCACCATCTGTTTCTAAAGTGTACCATTCTGATGATACTTTTTAATACCGAATTTTTCTTCGTCAGGATTGCTATTTTTTAAGCTTGCACACGACATCATACCATTGAGCTTATTCATCGGGAAATACACCATATATCTTCTGATACGGTGGTTAGACATAGAGTGACATAAATATAAAATGCCGTTTTTTATTTTATTTTATTTTATTTTCCTTTCTTTTTTTACTTTTGACATTTTTACTTATGATTGATTTTTCTGATTAAATTTTTTTTTTTTAAGAGGAGTTTTTTGTCAGCCTTTATATAGCTATCAGAACCGTTGACTTAATACAGTATTATTTCTATATTGATATGTTATGATTAAAAAGATTGCGAATTTTTGAAAGTACAGTCAGACCTCCAAAATGCAACCCTTAAATGCATGCTTCCATTTAGACTCAACGAATATAACACTTATAGATTTTACCACTCTAAATGTAACACTTCCACTTAGGGCGTATTTACTGTGTACGCTCACGGGTGCTATTTCGAAATAAAGTTGATTTTCTGAATCCAGGATTTGTCGCAGCGATAGGTGTTAATTCAAGACCACGTAAACTATTTTAGAAGGACCCGATTGTCAAAATAACGCCTATGAGCGTTATTTCACACTTATACGGTAACTAAATTTTTATATGAGCCCCGTCACAATGCATTTAGAGAGATCTGAATTTGATTTGGTGCAGCGAAAACACAACTTTAAGTTAATTCACAATTCATAATTGTTTAGATAATTTGTTCACTTAGAAAAACCTAAAGTAATCAATACTGTATAAATATATAATAACGCCATTGTAAGAAATTACACATTTATCAGCCGTACGAACGTACATAAGTTGACTAAAAAGGATAATATATTACATCTCTATTGAACTTAATTTTACTTGCGATTAAAAAATAATGCCCCAAATACACGGATAATGTGGCAAATCACAATAAGTTTTTAAAGTTATATACAGTACGTACCTCCTAAATAAAGTTGATGGGGATCTCTATAAATAGAAATAATATGCAAGCAAATTTATCGTCATAATAAGGTATTTGAATGAATTTAAACTTAAAAAAAACGTTAAATAATCTCAACTATATTTTAATATAATTATCAACTAATTGATATAATTTTATTAATAAAAAATTTTTTTTATCTGTTCTAATCAGGTATCTCTAATATTACTAGAAAATTAAGTATATCTTAAACAATTAAAGTCAAGATGCTATTTACGAATTGGGCTGAGTTAAGTATCGGCGCATTACTGCATCTAAAATTACTTAAGGTTTATTTGTAAAATTATATCGTCTCCATGGAATTGGTGTAGAAAAAAAATAGGCTTTAGATTTCCTGCACTTTACGTACGTACACACAGTCAGACCTCCCTAAATGCAACTCCTAAATACATGCTCTATGAGAAATGCATGTCTCCACTTAGACTCAACTAATATAAATTTTTACCTCCCTAAATGCAACCCCCTAAATACGTGCTCTATGGAAAACCTCCCTAAAAGCATGTTTCCACTAAGCTCAACCAATATATACTTATAAGTTTTTTACTTCTTTATATCTAATATAATGAATTTTTTTTTAAATTACATTAAAATTTTTAAGTTTACCCATTTTGAATGAAATGTAAGACTTTTTTGAATAAATTATAAAAATATACAGAATAAAGTTAATTAGTCTTCGATTTTTTTGTTAATTTATTTTTCATATTTCTCACGGTCTCTTTTCAAAACCGGTTCTACATTTACTTTTTTGTATCATAAAGTTATTACAATAGTTTTAAAATTCTGGGAAATAGAAACAATTGCAAATGAATGAATCGATAAGTTTTTGATACCTGTTGATGTTGGAAATTTATTTAATTCTGCATAACTTCGATCAGTAGAAATTTTTTCAGCTGTCCTAGAATTTATGAAGCAACAAAATTTTTTTTCTACATTTGTCGGCCTCTTTACAAATTCGGTTCTACATTCGCTTTTTTATATCATAACGTTATTACAGCTGGTTTTAAAATTCCGGGACAAAAGAAAAAGTTGCCAATGAACGAGTCGAAAGCTTTTGATGCCTGTTAATGGGTATACTCAAGCACCTAATTCATTGGATCGGAAGTAAAACTTCAATTGAATAAATTAACCAAGTGAGTTACCATTTCGATGAACAAATCAGCGAGATACAACCCACCTTTTTTCTTCAAAAATTACCATTGATAAAGGTCGCTCAAGTATTACTTTTACATTTTTTACATATCAAACATAATAAACAATTAATTCTCAACAAATTTCTAACCGATATAAAAAGATAACCACTCTATTTTTAATGTTCGAAGCTTTTAAAACAAATAATCAATACATTATTATGAGCGTAATAAATACAACTACAGTATCTTTTAACGTTTAACCAAACCATAACGAATACTATTATTCCATTTTTCAATTATTTAAATTTAATTCTTCTCAGTAAAGAAGACCTAAAATTGAAAAGTTTGGGTAGATGTTTTTCATATTTGACTGATAGTAAAGAAATTTAAATTGTTAAAATTAATAAAAGGAAGAGCCGACGTAACTAAAATTAAAACTTTAAAGGTTGATCAAAAAGAATTTTTTTCATTATGTTTTATAGGTAGTATAGCGAACATTACGAAAAACAGGCTCAAGTATTTAATTCTATAGATAACGTCATCAATTGTGATGTTTGAGCATCATCGATTATTATCTGACCAATTGATTTAGATGCTTGAGAACAGCCAATGTCAGTAATGTATTTAATTTTGCATTAACTTATCCGATTCGATTAGTAGAAACTTTTTCAGCTGTTCTAGAATTTATGAAAATAAGTTATAACAAAATTTTTTTCTATATTGTCGTCTCGCTTTACTCGGCTTCTTTTCAAATCCAGCTCTACATTTTACGTAGGGATGGAAAATGATTTAAAACATAATGTTAAAAATCATGTTTGTTTGAGTTTTAAAAATGGGTTTAAATGATTTAATACATTCTGTCGTAATCATTATGTACAATGAATATATTTATTTATTTAACTAATTTCGTCAAAATACAACTTTATCATTATCTCTATAAACAATCATGCTCCGTGAGAGACCTTCATTAAAAGAAATTCGCTTGAACTTTAAAAAGTTACGGAAATGACAAACTTGGTCGATTAAAGGATCACTTATATAAATGCAAAAGGCTTCCAAAAAAGTATAAAACTTTCATTAAATAATGCTGATTAAGATAAAATAACATTAACCAAATTAATTGATGATAATTAAATTTATAATTATGCATTTAAACTAGAAAGAATATACAAAGAAAATATATACAGTTATATCAGAAATCAAGTAACTATGCATTTCTTGTAATTATATTATAAACAATAGTTTATAAAGTGATTATTTTTTCTTTAAAAGTTATTTCTATGAAACTTTGTGATTCTAACTAACCAATCAGAATCGGCATTTTAGCCCTAACTAAATTTTTAGTCTCAGCGCCAATGGTTTAAAAATTTAAAAAAAAACTGTTTAACCCTTTTTTTTATCCCTAATTTTACGTCATAAAACTATTACCAATTTTTTTCTATTATTGAGCACATATTCTTAAATAGTTATTAATATAATGAAAAACATCTCTTCATTTAATTTAATTTATTATTATATTATAAATAGTTGTTTTATTCATTTAATTTATTATTATGTTATAAAATAGTTATTTTTATTTTGCTACAATACAAAAGTAATTTTCGTGACTGTTGCACGCACAATAGCACAATAACATAATCTTGGTAAAAAGATCTAGATAAATTATGTGCATACTTCTGTGTAGAGTTCTCTTATATATCTTAACCTGAGGCAGTATTATTATAATAGTTAGTTGTAATTTGAGTCATACTTTTTGCTGTGGACCTTTGTTAATGGCTTTTTTTTTACTAACTAATAAACAAGTGATAACCTTTTGTCTAGTTGGTATCTTAATGGATAAAGGAATGCTGCAAAAGCTCTTGGAATTTCTTTAGAAAAACTTCCTACTATGAATAATCACCTTGAAGAGATAAATGAGTATTTAAAAAAAAATAATTAGTTAAGCCAATTTCAAAGAAATAATTATCTTCTTAGAGCTGATATATTATATATCACTCTTGTTTATGAGGTTATTCCAATTATCTTGACATTGTGAAACCTTGCTATAAATATTAAACATGAAAAAGCAAAATGATAAAAAGATCTTAATATAATAAACTTATCTGACCATATAATTATTATGAAAAATTTTTTGCAAGTTGCATATTTGTCTCCAAGTGAAAAACAGAATAAACTTGCAAGAAAACTAATTGATACACACCACTCTGGTTATATCGACATTTTTGAGACATTAGTAAAAAAATTCAAAATGTCGGTACAGTGAGTTATACTGACATTTTATATTAAATTTTTGAAAAAAAATGTCAGTATAGAAAGATTTTACTATGATGTCGTTATATCCAGATGTCGGTATAACCAGAGTGACGTGTATAAATAAAATAAAAAAATAAAACAAATAAACTTTTTGGAAATATTTATATTGAAGTTAATTCTAAAATCATGACTAGATTAATTCATATAACTTGTGTATATAGACAACCAACTGATATCTGCTGTCAATGCCTTGACTTTCTTCAAAGAGGAATTATTTGTAAACATCTTCATGCTATAACTCTTTATATTGAAGATCTTCATAAGTAAAAATAATATATACATTTGCTTGAAATTGCTTTTCCAACTTATCAAGAATCTAAAAATATTCAATCTAATATATATGCTAATAAATTCGAAATACCTACAAGTTTTGGAGATAATAATGATATTAGTGGTGAGGATGATATTGTGAATAATATTGATGATGAAGATAAAAATAGTGAAATTGAAAATAATAACAATAATAATAGTTCTTCATTAACTTCATCTAAAGAGATTTTTACTTATATTAGACACATTCTTGAATCTAATATTCTAATCAAAGTATTACAATCAAATATATCTATATTTGTATTAACTCCCCTAAAATATATTAATAATTTAAATATTGCTGCTATTTATCAACAAGAAA